ACGAGGAGATTCAATGAGAAATAACGTCGTCGGACTTCAGGTGAACACGATGCCTGACCAAGGCTCCTTCCCCTGAATTGCTGTGTCCTGAGGGTGGCCCCAGGTTAGTCACAGTGAAGACAGCAGGGACGAGCCTGGACTGGACCCCACGTCCTCCGCCAGGTGCTCCCTCCATCCCTGCCCCCGCCTCTTGTTCCCTCTGCTCTTCAGTAGCCCCGGCGCCCTTTTCTCATTAATCATAACTCACCTGAGTCACTGAACAGAACTTCAGTGTTTGCCAAACGCTTTCATGGACATCGTGGCATTTGGGGCTTACGACAACCCTGGCGTCACCTTCATTTCACTCAAGGCTGAGGAACCAGCCCCCGATCAGGTCAGCCAGAGCCCAGGCCCACGCTCAAGGCTCCGGACACCAAGTTTCCTGGCCTTCTGTCCTCCGTACCTGCCGCCTTGCTCAGCCAGGCGTAAACTCTGCTCCAGGACCCCCTTGAGTTTGGCCTCCTGGCCCCATTCTGGTCCTCCCCTCCATCACAGCGTCTCAGTCACAGCGTTTGGCCACTTCCTCTCCCATCCTGGGTAAGCCTGCAGGTTTCTAGCACTTTCAAATTTACTTTGACAAACTTACAAATGGGAAAGACCCTTACACTCTTCTGCCTTTGATTTCAACCTCCACTTGAGGTGAATGCCTACTTGAGAAACCGAGAATCTTTGTAATCACAGTGGGTTAAATTTTGGTTTTGGTTCCCATTATGATTTTTGAATTCTTAATGTAATATGAGCCTATTATAGAATATGTGGAGACGAGAGGAAAGGAAAAAAAAATACTGTAAAAACTTCATGATCCTAACACACAAAGTTGTCAAAAGTTCTTTGTAATTTAGGCAAATCCAGAATATGTCCTCTGCTCAGGGAAGAGGTTACTTAGGGATGGAAGGCATATGTAGAAGGCATCTATGTATTTAGGAGATGGGTTAAATTTTCCTAGGTTTGGGTGTATGTATATATTTGTGTCAAGTCGTGATATGGATACATAAAATGCTAGGGATTAAAATTATGAAAAAAAGAAAGAAGGAAAGAAATGATTTTAGTGGTGGTGGGTGATATGTAGGCGGATGACCAGAATCCCCCAGAGACGGCCACATAGTAACAGATGAATCATTAGATTAAAAATGTATCATGAGATGCTACAAATGCACAGGAAAAACATAACCCAGAAGAGAAACTGGCAAAGAATTTGAGCAGGTGATGCACAGAAAAATAAATTCAGTTGCTAAATATGAAAAATATTCACTTCACTGGTAATCAGGTACCCACAACCTAAAACAACAAGATACTATTTCCCATGCATGGGATTGGCCAAAAGTACACTGTCTGACAATAGCAAGTGTTGGTAAAGGTGTTGAAAAAAGAGAACTCATGCACATCTAATGGGAATTACAATTTTTGGAGAATAATCTGGCAATATCTGGAAAAGTTGAAAAAGTCCATATTTTAAAACCTTGCCATCTGCTTCTCAGTTATACTCCCAGCAGCCTTTCGTCCTAACCATGGGACACGGGCCGTTACTTGAGTGACTCTTCTCAGCTCTCCCAAGGATTGTGCGTGTCTGCTATCATTCTAGGTGCTTAGGAGAGAAGTTAGTTCATTACACGCAGTGGTTGCATCTTGACATTTGTCTTGTTAAACCCAATTGAGAAAAGCTGCCCGGGGATGTCCGCAAACATATTTACAATACATACTACCAGTAATTAGTAAAAGTTAGAGATGGTTTGTTCATGTGTAGGGGAATGGATTAATAAATCATAGTCTATTTGTAGTATGGAATTCTGTGCAGCAGCCAGATCTGTATGACTCAGCATAAATAAAACCTGAAACAAAATGTTGATTTAAAAAATTGTAGGACAGTGTAAAAGTGTGGTATCATTAACAGATGCTTTGTAAAAGACACAAACTGATACTATGTATTATTTATAAATGCTTATTTGCAGTAAAAATATAAAGTAGGATCTAGACATGTGCCTAGTTCATGGGAGTGGCTGTGTCTGAGTGGAGAGGGAACTCACCTGGGGAGAGAAGCACAGGGGACGTGAAGGTCGTGGGGTCTGTTCACGAATATTCCGAGTTTCCTCCAGGTCTCGGTAGGACTGCACTTCCTCACATTCTCAGCAGGCAGGCACGACCGTATGACACCCGGGCTGGGAAAATGTCAGTAGAGGTGTTCCTTCTGGGTGGGAGATTAAAAACCACTTGCACGATTTACCTTGTTCTTTTCCCTTTGGTCGTAGGGACTATCAGTATTTCAGGCTACTGCATCAGCCTGGATCCTGGAGTGAGGACAATGCACCACAGAGTCCCCAGAAGCCCCCAGTGAGCATGAGGCATGACCCAGAAGTAGGCCTTTGTCTACTGAAGTATGGGACTGTATGTTGGTTACTGCAGCATAGGCTCGCCCATCCTAACTGATACAGGGGCTTAATCTTCACGTGTAATGTTTTATTCCTCTTTTTACTTTTCCTGTCTAAAGAACATTTGACTCAATATTAACAGTTGTTCATTTTGAGAGGAGAGGAGCCTTTGATATGCAGGCGGTAGGGGTGCTGGAGAAGGCATGTGTATTTTGAACAGCCTCCCAGATGAATTTATAAGCTTTCCTACTTCTTCTCTAATCTGATTTTATAGGACAGGAAACTGGGGCCTAGAAGTAGTGAGTGTCCTGCTCTTCATCAAAGACCAGTCTGGTGCCATAGCCACTCAGCTCAGATATAATAATCCTGACTCACCCAAGCTTGTTACAGGAAACAGTCCTGTGAAGGTTTTCTGCATTTATTGTCAAGCCGCTGTCCAGGACACTGCCCATTATATTGCACAGTAGCCCCTAAAATAAGGTCTTATGCGAGAAAAAGGAAAAAACTTAAAGAATTTAGTTCTGTGGTGGGAGGAGGGTGTAGCTCAGTGGTAAAGCATATGCTTAGCATGCACAAGGTCCTGGGTTCACTCCCCAGTCCCTCCATTAAAAAATAAATAAATAAACCTAATCCCTACCCCCAAAATAAACAAATTAAATTAAATTTTAAAAAAGAGAATTTAGTTCCAGGAAAATCTGTTTCTGTTGTGGATTATTGGTAGGCATCCACCTTTCTGTATAACTTGTTTCCCTTTTTGTTGTGGTTGCCAGGAAGCTCAGAGACAAATCAGTGTGTACGGAGGCCCTCCTGGTTTGCTTCCTCTTACTTTCAACAATGCTGATACTCACTTCACTGTGCACAGGTCCTTTTTTAAACTGCTCAAACCTCTTCAGAAAACAAAAGTGAGTAGAGCATGAATCCTCCATCACACCACGTCCTCCTCAGGCTCTGTCTGTTGACTGTGCTTCGCTCCTCCTGCAGGAAGGGAGCCCCAGCTGCAGGAGGGCCTGCTCAGCCATCCCTAGCTTGGCCGCTGGGCTAAGTAAAAGCCAGATGTGACTGAGGCGACTCTGTAACCGGGCTTCGTGCTGACCTTCCATGTTGGTATAACAAGGGGGTTCCCCTTCGGAGCTATTTTGTTGGTGGTGGTTTTTTCAGGGGGGGTAATTAGGTTTATTTATTATATTTTAATGGAGGGCCTGGGGATTGAACCCAGGACCTCACGCATGCTAAGCACACGCTCTACCCTGAGCTATACCCTCCCCCACTGGAGACATACTTTTGTGTCTACTTAAATTTCTAAAGCAGACGTTTCCACGACTGTCTCTTCCTTCCCTCCCCACACAGTATTTCATACTAAACATCCAAATGAGAAACAGAGTCAAGATAATTCAAAGGGCTCAGTAATACACCTGACCTGCACATTTAAGCCAAGGAGTCCCTTCAGTTGTGAAAAACAGCCTTGTGCCAGGACACAGGATAATTCACTTCTGTCTCTAGGAGTCCTGTTGTCTCACTGAGTGATTTGGCCTTGTAGGATTTAGTTTCATTTCCATGTAAAATGAGGTATCTTGTCTCTCTAACTTTCTGTCAATATTTTAATTTTAAAAATTAGAAATAATTGCTTTCTTGTAATATTTTAAATTCTCAAAATAACTTTAAAAAAGTGTAGAAAAAAATTTTAAAGCCAGTCCTTTTTCATTTTAAAAAGGACCAAAGAAAGAGTGGAAGGATTGCACATTAGCAAGCGTTTGGTCCCGACGAGCCATGGAGGAGATCAGCTCCTTCCCATGATGACTAGTGATGCGGGAATGATGTCTGAGTCTCCAGGGTGGGGCCAGACGGACAAGGGGGTAGAAGAACTTCAGACGTGGTTATTTTTCCGCACTCCAAGAGCAGCTTGATTTTATAATGGAAAGGAATTAGATGAATAGAATTCATGCCAGTATCATCAACTCAGGCCCTGTTTCCAAGCTGGTGCTCTGAGGACACCGATCTTAAGAATTGCTAAGTAGGTATTACTGTTACCAAGTCCAAACTCATTCCGCTCGCTGCACAACAGACCAAGAAATCAGGCGATGAGGTATGGAGGCAAGGAACTGAGGCAATTACTTTATTTGGAAAGCCAGCAGACTGAGAAGATGGGGGACTAATGTCGTGGAGAACCATCTTCCCCAAGTCAGAATTCAGGCTCTTCATACTGAAAAGGGGAGGGGGCGAGTTTGTTCCAAACTTCTTGGTGTTGGAATCCTTTGTTTTTGCAGCTGTCCACCTACGTCAGGTCATTGTGTCCCTGTAAACCTCCAACAAGACAAGTGTTTTTTTCTATTCTGCAACTTTTTGTCTCCAAATGAATGGAAAAGTGCTAATACCCTTGAAGGTCAGAGTCTTGAGAACAGGCTGTCCTATATATTTCAGGCTACAGGCAACATTCTTTTACAAAAGGTGCAGAACCAGCACCACTGAGCCCAGGAAACAGAGCCAAGGGTTAAAGCCAGAGGAACAGACCTAATATGGAGTCAGATTTGTGCTCCTCTGTTACATTGCCTGTGGTCAAATCTGCAAAAGTAAGTGTTCTCTATCTCTGTGTTACAGAAGCATGATGCATATTAGCATACTGAGGATTGGAAAGAAACCTGTTTTAACTGCGTTTCATCCAGTGTTCAGGCTTTATCTGCGTGTGGAACCCTCTCGCTGTCACTTCTGGAAGACTCACGTGGCCTTCCCCATCAGCACCGGGAGCGTCGCACTAAGGCAGTCTCCGGGCCCCCGAGCCGGGGGTCCGGGACTCCTGTGTGTGGCTCTGCCACAGTGCAGCTGTGTGACCGGGTCAGGCCTGGTGGGGTCTTGGTCCCCCACCTGACAAACGAGGACGATGACGCGTGTCCGTATTTACTAGGAATGAGTTAGAGGATGTCCACCAGGGCTTCAAACGCCTCAGGAACCAGGGTCCCTGGAAACAGCGTCGTTGTCTCAGCCGCGTCCGCCGGGAGGGTAATACGCCACTCGCGAGGTGCGGCAGGCCCGGCCCCACGGGTGCCGCGCGCTCGGCCGTCTCTCCTGGTCTCCGCGGGGGGTCTGTGCACATTCCGTACACTTCAGCAAGCAAACCCATTTCGTGCTGACGCCTGTTTCGAACATCGATTGAGAAGAGAAGAAAGGAAATAAAGAGGAACAGACGAGGTGAAGCAGTGGAGGCTCCAGTAGCGGTTAACAACAGGAGCAGCTCACATCTGTGCAGCTCTTACCACGCGCTGGGCAGCATGCCGAGCAGCTGAAACACACTGTGTCTAACGTCATCCCATTGGATCCTCACCAAAATCCTGAGGAAGACACACTGATTATGCCAAAAGTTGGAGTTTAGAGCGATGAAGTGACTTGTCCACGGTCATCCATGAAACGGCAGAGCTAAGTCCTGAACCAGGCCTGTCTGACTCCCAAACCCATGTTATACTGGTGTTTCCTAAGGTGGTGCCCACGAGCTGATCTTACGTGGTAATAAATGTGTTTTTATTGTAACAATTTTGCATTTTAATGTTTATTAGAAAAAAATATAATATGTATTACAAACCCATGGTTTCATTAATGAACAGTATAAGTTAGGATAAACCAAAAATTAGAATATACGTATTTTTCAATATTAAGAAGGTGATGGTACAGGTGGTATGTGGAAGTGTCAAAGACCATCAAAGCAGCGCTACTGACAGAAGCTGGAGAATCTCTGCTTCACAGCAGAGACTAGAGGCGAAAGGTCGAGACCAGCTGGATTCAACCAGCTCAGGTTGCTGCCCCCAACCAAACAAAAGTGTCCCCTCGCTGCTTCAGGAGGAAGTGCAGGGAGGAAGTGAAGCTCCGTGTGAGCGCTGGAGGCTGGCAAGGGCTGCTGTGTTTACCTGGGTGGGGTGGGGGCGGGCAGAGGGAAAGACCTATGATTGTGAGCCCTGATTCCCAGAAAATCACAGCCTGGCCAGCTCTGCCGCCCACAGAGAAGGAAACAACGCCTTCGGCTCCTTGGCGAACCTCTCCCTGACCTCCCCGCAGGGGCAGCCGCCCAGCTCCTGGGGGGAGGGGAGGGTCTTAGTTCAGACTTCTTAGTTGCAAAAGACGCCCACTCAGCTAGTTCAGACCAAGGGAGACCAAGGAAGAAGGAGGAGTGGAAGGGGTTTGGCGGGTTTACTGGGTTTGCTGCAGACCACGAAGAGCTGGGACCGGGAGTCGGACTCAAGACCTGAGGTGACTGTGTCTGATTCTCGGAGTGTCTCCCTCTGCTCCTCTGAGACTCTGTCATCCTCTCTTGCACAGCTCCGTCTCCCTGGCCATGTGTACCGCACTGCACAGTTCTAGCCTCCCAAGTACGAGGACCTGGGTTTTAGGCCTCGATTCTGGATTGCCACGAGAGAGTCATCTTGGCCCAGGCTGAGTCAGGAGTTTGCTGCTGCCGGTGCATCACAGCCGGGGTGACACGGGCTCTTCTGCAATCCAGTGTCTTCACACGAGTTGGTATCGGGTCCTGTAAATTCAAGTAGAGAAGACTTGGGTCCACCACTTCCTTGCATTATGTTCCTGTGGTCCCCACCCAGCCTGCTCTTTCTTCACTTTTTCTTTTTTTTCCTTTCCTTTCCTTTCTTTTCTTTTGTTAGTGGAGGCAGTGGGGACTGAACCTAGGACCGTGTGCATGCTAAGCATGCACTCTGCCCCTGAGCTACACCCTCCCCCCCATCACGCTCTGTCAGTTCAGCATGATGTAGTTTGATGCTTGGCGTTTCAGACAAAAAGGGTAGATGTCCTGCAGCAGTTTCATTCACTGAACCAACTCTGGTGTCCTTGAGGCTGGAGGGAGAGGGACACTCAGACAATAAAGCTGGAACCATCTTGGACACAAGGAACAAGAGTTAAGGAGCTGGGCCATCAGTCATGGTTACGGGGGACCCACTGGCACCGCGCAGGGAGCTCTGGGGGACTGCTGAGCAGTGATGTCGATTATGATTACGATGATGGTGATGGTGACAAAGGAAATTAGCAGAAGGGACCTCATGTAAAGACGTGAGAATTTTGACAGAGAAGAAGCACAGAGACTTCCACGTAGTAAAAACAAAAGCTTGAGCTAAGGGCTCAAAGACTTGAGTTCTTGATGTGGCCTTGTTCTTAACCAGCTTAGTGGTCCCAGTCCGAGGGCTCTGCTTGGCGGGGTCCTTACCCTTGAAGACCGGGATAATCCTCTAGGTCAGGAATCTCCATGGCCCTACGGTCTATGGTTCTACTCCTGGAAGACAAACCAGAGTCAGATGAGGATCAGAAAGCTCTGATTTCTCAGAGAAGATGACTTTTCAAGAGAGATTTGAACGGTTTGAGGACAGGCTTTGGTAGAAAGGAAGAAGCAAGGCTTGGATTGCAGGGAAGGCCTAGGACAATGGCCCAGGAGTGGGAAAGAGAGATGATGCTGGAGAAAAAGCCCTAGGCCTGACTGTGATCTGGATAAACCGCCTCGCTTTTCTGGGCCTCAGCTTCCTCCAGCTCTGCTTCTCGGAGAAGAAACCTGTATCTGGAAGGACGTAGCCACCAGGTTTGTCAGCAGGAGCGCAGTCTGGGCGGAAGTATAAAGAAATGAAGGTGAGGAGGGCTGGGGAGACAGCTTGAAACCTGTAGTAAGGAATTTCCCTGGCTCAGAACGGGGTAGTTGGTTTTTACCATTAAATTCCCATTGGTTTTTACCAGTAAAATTCCAAGACTGTGCTCCTGCCTTCCTCACTGGGAATGCTGATTAACCTCCTGAATGTTGTCAGTGCTGGGGGGCAAGGAGCCAAGACTGTGCCAGTCTTTTTATACACTGGCAGCAGGGGCAGGTCTTTACGTACGATGAAGACAGTGTCCCTGCCAGCAGCCAAAGATGAACTACAATCCTAGGGGGAACCAAAAAAGGCAATTTCCAATGCACAGAACTGCGGTCTCTGAACACAGCACCTTGCTGGGCTCTATTCTGATTTTAGTGACTGCACAACTCAGAAAGCAGGGCTGGCAGGTTGAGACCCGGATTCTCCCTCGGCTACATGGGAGTGGGGGAGGGGGGAAGCGGGGGAGGAGGGTTTGCAGTAGCCCGTACTCAAGCGAAGTCTTTAAGGATCCTAGCAAGCCACCAGAAAGGAGTTCCTAGTTGCTTGGGCCGAAGGAGAGCAGAATGAGAAGTTGCCGGGTGGAGGTGGACGGCAGCAGGGGAATGGGGAGGCTGTAAGGAGTCCAGGGACTGACTCTAACTGTAGATGAAGGTACACGCGGTCTGAGTTCTCCGTAAAGGACTTCGCTGTGTTTTTCCCTCTCTGGCCACACGGAGACCAGAGTACAAGCTTTCCTTACAGAGAGGGGGCAGGGGTGGGGAGAGTGATGAAAACCGTAACTGTTTCCTCTGAGATAAACCCCAAGCTCTATTCTATTCTGAAGAAAGAACACTGTCTCTTTCTTCATCCCTCATGTCTCATTCAGGAATGAACAATGAAAGGGAGGGAAAGAACGCCAGCGTTTACTGAGGGCCTTCTGTGTGCTAAGCACTTTCTCATCTATTTCTTTTAAGCTCCCCGCTTTCACAGATGAGGAAACCGGAGAGTCACGGTGTTTCAGTAGTTTAAGGCCTCCCCATTATAAACAGCAGAAGTGGGATCTGACCCCAGTTCTTACTATCAAGTCCTGGCTCTTTCCACACCGAAGGGTAAGGAATCAGGCCCGCCACAGGCCTCTAGCCACCAGGGGGATAGAGGAGTTGTTGCATGGCTGAGAGCTGGGTCCTCAAACTTGCGGGCACAGCAGAATCTCCTGGAGGGCTTTTTATTTTTATTTATTTTTTATTGAAGTGTAGTCAGTTATAATGTGTTGATTTCTGGTGTAAGCACAATGTCCAAGTCATGCATATGTATACATACATTCATTTTCATACTCCTTTTCATTAAAGTTTATTACAAGATATTGAATACAGTTCCCTGGGCTATACAGAAGAATTTGTTTTTTTAATCTATTTTTATATATAGTGGTTAACCTTTGCAATTCTCAAACTCCCAAATTTATCCCTTCCCACCCCCTTTCCCCCGGTAACCATAAGACTTCACTATGTCTGTGAGTTCCTGGAAGGCTTTTTAAAACCAGATTGCTGGACGGGTCCCCAGAGGTTCTGATCCTGCAGGTCTTGGGTGGGGCCTGGGAGAATACATTTCTAACAGCCCGTCCAGAGCCATTCCTGGAGACCCGCCGGCTTCGACCTAGTCCAGGGCCAGTAACGGAGACGCAGTTCGCAGTCTAACGAGTGGCGTTAGGGAACGCGGCAGCGCCACTCGCCAGCACGTCCCAAAGTGCGCTTGGAGCAGAATTCTCCACGCTCTGAAAGTTGATGGGACCACGTTCTTGATTTCTGGTTCCGCCAAGATTTCAGCAGCAAAACATTCTCACTCGCTAACTCGTACACTTACAGGATTCTGCACTTGTGACTTCGGCTACTTTCTGCAATGTATTTGCCACCCGCGTGGTGCGGGCAGCGCTCCCCGCAGCGCACGCGCCTTCCCAGCGGCGGGAGGAGGCCGGGCCCCGCCTCGCTGGTTCAGCTCCTCCTGGAAACAGGTGTCCTGCTCGAGGGCCACTCCATGCCCTGTTTTCACGGTTTCGTACTGTCTGCTGGTGACTCTGCCGCTGAGAGCGGCCCCCGCCTCCCTGGCGCCCTCCAGGGCAGGCGGGCTGCGCTGTCCCCACCGAGAACGCGCGGCGTCCGCACGAGCTACTGCCGCCGTCCGCAAGGTCAGTGTCAGCGCGTCGGCAACACACGCTGAATCAGATGTCTTTAAACAGAAACACACAGAGATGGCCAGGGGACGAAAACGTTGCGACTACACTCCTGCAGGACCCTGACCCGCTGCGCTCCAGCCTTCGTAACTGAGCGTTTGCAGTGGCTTCGCGGAACACACCGACCGTGGGAAACGCGAGCCGACTGTGTATCATGCGGAAACTGAGGGGGGAGGTGCAGGCAGGGGCCACACGAGTCAAGGTAAGAAAAGGGAAAAAGGAGAAGAACTTGACCACTGACTCAGAGACCACATAAGTCTTGGCAAATGCAAATACATGCGTATGAACTGTCTGCAAAACCAGACTGTTTCTCTAGGTCCTGCACATGCAGAATATAGGGACATTAGTGACAACAGCTGCTGTAACTTCGCCGCCGCCTCCTGCGGTTTCCTTGCGGAGGACATTTTGTGGAGAGTGATTTTTTTTAAAGAGTGGCTCTGATGTCCCCCTCTCCATCTACTCGTGTCTTTCCAGAACTGTCGGAACTGGCTGTACCAAGGCCAGGAGTCTCACATGGGGCACGGGGCCTCTGAGGGGGAGGGGCAGGAGCC